AAGAGGGCATCGCCAGGCGAAAGACCCTGGCCGCCGCTGCTGCCGCTGGTGCCACTGCCTGCCGCCGCCGCCTCGGGACGTTGCAGATCCTGCGAGCCTGCAGCAGGACGCACGCGGGCGGCGCCGGCAGGCCTCGCTTCTTGCTGGAGCTCGGCCTCGGGGTTCGCCACGTGCTCGCCGACATGAGCGCTCAGCGCCTCCTGCTCGAGCCTGTGCGCCGCCGCCAGCGCCACTGCCACAGCGCCTGCGGAAGCCAACGCCGACGCCGTAGGCTTGCGCCTCGTGCCACAAGCCACGGGCGCAAACGGCTTGGCCACACACGGGCCCTTGAGCAGCCGCTTGATGCTGAGGTCCGTGTACGCCGTCTTGAGGCAGGCCCTGCAATGTACTCCACCTCTCGCCACCTTGACGACACTGTGCCTTGTGACGCTGAGCGGAGGCCCCTTGTGAATCGGCTTGCAGTTCGGGTCGATGTCCAGCTTCAGGTCTGCTGCCTCGCACCCCGCACGCGCAACCCAGCGCACAACTCCGTCGAGGGTGAGCGAACGCCGCTGCCAGGCTTCGCGAAGCTCAATCGGCGCCCTCACTGCAGCTGCAACCACCTTCGCCGTACGGTCGGCCTCCCAGTTGCCTCGCCTGTCGCGTGCAGTGATGTCTCCGTTGCGAACCATGGCCGCCGTGGCGTGCGCCTTCACCTTCTGAATCGTGAGCCCTTGGGGCCCAATGCCACCGAAGTCGTCCAGAGCTGCCCAGACGCGCCTCCATACGCATCCCCAGGCAGAGGTCGCCTTGGTGGTGCTGGCTTCGCCCCTATCCAACAGGCCCTCGGTGACGTACGAGGCGTCGAAGGCCGCAGTGATAGGCGGCAGGCTGTGGCGGAGAAGCGCCAGGCACCCCAGGAGTTCGGCCCCGTCGATGGACTGCAATGGCCCAGGCAATGGCGTGCCCAAGGCCTTGACGGCTGACTCGGGTCCTGGGTCCCAGTCGTCGTCGCCGTGAGGCAGCTGCGCCATGCCGCAAGCCCCCACCGCCAGCGAGGACCCAGCCTCGTAGACCGCTCCGTCCGAGTAGACCGTGGTGTCGGAAAACGGGAACCCGTCGCCGCCCTTGACCCACTGCACGTGCGCGAGTAGGTCGTCACCTGGAGGGCGCCACGCGTGGAGGGGCTCGGGCAAGACCAGCCTCTCCAGCAAGGTAGTAATGGTCACGCTGGTGCTGAAGGGAACAAGCTTGCTGACCTCGGCTGGGAGCGTCAGACTGGGCCAGCTGTCCTGGCAGGCCGTGTGCCTGTGCCAGAGGGTGCCAGGCTGGCCAGGGTGCAACTGGCAGCATGGCGTGCGGGCGATCCTTGGGGCTCCGTGGTACCTCCTGCTGTTAGGCCACTGCCCGAGGACAAAGACCGAGCGCGCGTACCCCCGCTGGCTGCTGTTGAGGGGCTCCCAGTCCTTCGCCAGGTTAGAGCTCCCCACACCCTTGGAGAACCAGCGCCGCAACTGCGGAAGGAAAATGCCACTACGAACGTCCTCGTGAGTGCCGTCTGTCAGGAGCTTCATCTGCCAAGCCCTCACGTCCAGCGAGATACACTGCTTGGCGTACCATGGGGAGACCTCAAGAAGGTTGATGATTGTACCGTTCGGCCTGACGACGCAGCCTAGCGCCTTAGGAACGTAGCCAATCCTCTTCAGCGACATGACCACTGCTCCGAGCGGACCGCGTACGTCAGCCCAGCATGTAGCCGAGTTGGCCGCCCACTCGAATGCTGGCTTGAGCTGCCCGATCGGCACCCACTTCTCCCACGCAGCGCGCGCCAGCGTGAAGCAGGGCGCCAGCGTCGCTGCGAACAGAGGGTCGATGGTGGGCGATCCTCCCACCAGCAAGCACGCCGTGAGCGACTTCCCGTGGGGATTCGGCTCGATGGCGTGCCGCACCATGCTGCGCGCCTGCTGCAACTCCGTGTTGTTGAGCCCCGTGCAGCTGATGCCGTAGAAAAGGCTGGGAGCCAAGCCTGTCGAAACGATCTTAGCCGCAGTAGCCCTGCCCCGTCGAAGTCCCAGTAGCCGTCTGATGCGAGGGATGCGGAGTCGGTTCTGAGCAATGCGGTGGCGCCTGACGACGCTAGACCTCCTTCCGCCCTCCGTGTAGTCGACGCCGAGGTTGCGCACCTCCCTGACTCCGATAGCACCTGTGGCCGAGCCCAGGTGCTTCTGGAGAGTGGCCCTCAAACCCCTGCTGCTGGCCAGCACCCGCGACTTCTTGGCGGCAATGGACAGGTGGACCTTCGCCAGCCCCTTAACCACCGCCTTAGCAGCCATGGTGAGGTCTTTGGCAACTCGCTTTGACCCTCCCCACCGCTGCAGCACGACGTCGTCGACCACGACGGCAGGGGTCACCGTGGGGCAGGCGATCTTCAACTCGTCTAGCGGCGAAAGGAGCATGACCTGCATGAAGGTAGTGGCGAAGGCGTCGCCAGCCAACACCGTCTGCATAACCGTCACCTCGTCAGAGCAGCACGTCTCCAGGCTGATGACCCTGGGGAGGCGGTAGAGCGAGACCTGCAGCTTGGCCAGCCACAGTGGAAACTTGTGCTGCACGCACGCCCGCAGCAGATTGCCGTGCATGATCTGCTCGAAGGCCTTCCACAGGTCCATCATTATCGACGCCGAGGCCCAGTCCTGGCCCTTGTTCACCTCGCTCATCATCTGGACCCATTCTGCACGAGCCTGCTGCTGCCACACTGCTCTGTCGCAACTCTTGCCCGAACTGGCCCACCAGTAGTCCCTGTCGTGCGACGCCTCCCAGGCCTTCGCGATGCCCCTGCGGAGCCTGCCGTGAATGCGAACCACCGCGCCCAGCAGCGCGATTGGGCGGAGGCCCCCGTCCGGCTTGGGAATGAAGGCCAGCTTGGTGATGAAGGACGGCCAGTCGCACTGCAACTCGATGGCGACCAGCAAATCGATGAGCGTCTCGATCCCAGCATCGTCGAGCACGCCCAGCTCGCGCGGGCGCAAAGCGTCGAAGGACGAGCCGCTGGAGTCCTTGAAGGTGGCAATGACAGCTCTGCTCTCACCCACCGAAGGTCGAGCAGGGCGCTCGCCGAGATCAGCTGGCCACTGGAGCTCCCTCGCCGCGAGTTCGCCCCCCAGCGGCGTGGGGGCCCCAACCCCCCAATATCCTGACCACTCCTTCACCAGGGCTTGGACCATCCGAGAGAGCGTGCGAGGCTCGCTTCCTGGGGCCCCAGAAATTCTCGGCTGCCAGCCCTGCGGAGGTTTGGTCCAGGAGTGTAGGGCCCCCGTACCTCTAGCGTGATTCTCGGCGACCCAGTCTCCGAAGCCCGCCTTCGCTTTGTCAGCGTCACGCTGCACCAACTTGTCTGCCATGGTGGCGGCGATGTAGCTCGCGACCTGCAGCTGGGGCAGGCCCATGCCGTGCGCAGCCTGCGCAAAGCCCAGCAGGGCGAACCGAGCCTGCGCCGTCTCCTGCCTGGAGTCGTTCTGAAAATCGGGCTGAGCACCGCACAATCGATCGAGCGTCTTCAGCGCCCTATATCTCTTCAGCTCCATGTCGGCCTGAGCTGCGTCATTGAGCGCAATGACTACGCTCTTGCACCAAGACGCGGTGGCTGTCACCCTCGGCAGCCTGGGCGCCGACGGCTGCAACACCCTGACTAAAGCCAGCCTAGGGCGCCGCTCACGTCCAGCGAACTCGTGATACTCGTGCTTGAGGCCGATGGCGTCCAGCAGGTACCGCTCGGCGCTTTGAATGAAGATCTGCCACATGATGTCCAGCGAGGAGGTGGCCGCCATGCGGCCGCGCGCCTCCGCCCACCTCTGGGAGTGGTCCTCGGTGCAGCACGCCTTGGGGAGAGGGTACGGAAGCTTCTTGGGAACCTTCATGACCTGCATGAACCTGTTGACCGAGCTGGCGTTGAACCTGAGCTCAACAGGGAAGCGTGGAGAGATATCCCACCCAAGCTTGATCTCCGCCTGCGCTTCCGAGATCACGTGAGAGACGACAAAGTAGTCAATCACCTTGCCCGACGGCCGAATAGCGCCGCCCGCTGGCGACACCACCCTGCCTCCGACGCGCTCGAGAAAGCCCGAGCACTGCAGTTCGTGGGGCTCCATGTTGAAGTCTCCCGCGATCACGAAGGGCTTGCCGATGGCGCGCACGGCCATCGCGATGCCGTCCAGAATGCTGAGGTCGTAGGCCGAGAGGCCGACGCCAACCTTCAAGTAGACGCTGAACCAAGCTAGTCCCCCAGGGAAGGGGCCAGCTACATGCGCGACTGCCGCGCGTCCTGGCGTGAGCACCGTCGGCTGCCCCGCTTCGAACTCGCCGAGGCCCGAGGACCTGGGCGCCAACTGCAAGAGGCCTCCGTGACCTGCATGTCCCGCAGCCACGTCGGTGGCTGGAGTGGCCACCGCATGCCAGCCAAGCCTCTGCAGCTTGTCTGTGACCTCGCAGCACCTCTCCTGGGACAGGTGCGTCTCCTGGACCGCAACGAGGTCGCAGCTCCTGAGACCTTCGTAGCTGAGAATGCCCTCGAACCTGCTGTAGGCGTTGGCGTTGATGGAGAGAGCTGTCCACCAGCGCCCGCGAGGGCGGCTACCCTGAGGTTCGTGGCTTCTTGACGGATCGCAAGACCTCCAGGGCGTCGCGGATCCTCTTGCGCTGCTCGTCATCGCCACCACAGCTGCCGAGAAGCCCACCAGGGTCATCCTCGCCCAGGAAGTCGTCGAAGTCCTCGGCTGGTGCCGCCCCCGCTGCTGGCGCCGCTGCGGCCTCACCTCCGCCAGGCTGAGATTCAGCTGGCTCGGGGGCGGGCACAGCGCCGCCTGCTGCGGCGGGAGATCCGCCCTGCGGGCGAGCTGCCTTCGCTTCCTCGGCGAGCTCGTTGACCATCTTGGAGAGCTGCCCGAGGAGACCCTGCCCAGAGACTCCGTCGGTGTTGAGCGTGCTGAGCTTCTCCTTGATCGCGTCGGGGCTGCTGCCTCCACCGTAGAGCGCAGCAGCCTCGCGCTTGGCATCTGCGAGCTCCTGCTGCAGCTGCGCGATGCCCATCTTGGTCGTGTGCACCTGCTCCAGCGCCTTGCGAGCCACCGCGGACTCGCGCTTAAGCCGATCCTGAGCGTCAGCAAGCTGCCGAGCAAGTCCGTCCACTTTCTGAGGTGCCGACTTCCCCACCAGGCCGAGAGACTGAGCACGGCGAGCAGCGTCCACCTTTCCACGAGATGACTGCGTGAGGGTGTGCTTCGTCGCGTCCCATGTCTCCTGCGAGAATGCGGCCCAGACCTTGACCTCCTCCGCGCTGAGGGACGTGCCCGTGGAGCTCTTGTCGCCTCCAGCACTCTTGCCTTTGAAGAGCTTGCCGTTGAGACCCCACTGGTTGCTCGGCGGCGAGTTGGCCCACTTGCCGCGGGTGGGAGGCTGACGGAGCTGCCACGGCTGATGCTGCCCTGCTCCACGCGGCAGGCGAGGTCGCATGCCTCCGCACCCCGCCTTGGTGCACCGAGTGCGGTCAGCCGCGTGGTACTCTCCACATACGCACTGCCACTGAGGTGCCATGGCCGGGACACGCTCTGTGTTATAAGTGCCAAAACTATGGGAGCCGCCGCGCGCGCCGCTGAGAGTCGAGCTCGGGAAACAGAGCTATCCCGTGTCGGCCAGGAGGCTTGCAGCCTCCCAAGCATTGGGTCTTGAGCCAAAATGGCTACGGAGGGATTAGAGCCACAGGAGAAGGGCAATATATAGGAACACGCGTAAAACACCAAGGACTCGTGCCCCAGGAGAGGCCCTATATATAGGAACATAAGTAAAGCATGTAGGATTGTGTACACAGGAGAAGGACAATATATATATATATATATATATAGAAACATACGTATAACATCAAAGAATCGTGCTCCAGGTGAGGCCCAATCGATAGGAGCACACGTAAAACACATGGGATTGGAGCCACTCCTGTTGCCTTCTGAGGCCTCCTGCTCCTGGGGCCTCTCGGGGCCTCCTGTTGCCTTCCGAGGCCTCCTGGCGCTTCCTGTTGCCTCCTGGGGCCTCCTGTGGTTTCCTGAGGCCTTCTGGAGCTTCCTGGGGCCTCCTGGAGCCTCTTGGGACATCCTGTGGCCTCTTGAGTCTTTCTGTGGCCTCCTGATGCCTCCTGGGACCTCATGTGGTCTCCTGGGGCCTCCTGGAGCCTGTTGGAGCCTCCTGTGGCATCCTGAGAAGAATATGCGCCCACGAGCCTGGCCACTAAAACAAGCAAACCGCTCGAGACATCCTCCAAATCTGCTCCGAAAGCGAAGGATGTTGGCACAGAAAACAAGCAAACCGCTCGAGACATCCCCACAAAATCCTGCGAAATGGGCCGAGTGAAACACCCCCCGCCGCTCCCTTTAGGAACGTGAAAATGAGCGCCTCGCTCGAGACATCCTCTAAATCTGCTCCGAAAGCGAAGGATGTTGGGACAGAAAACAGGCAAACCGTTCGAGACATCCCCACAAAATCCTGCGAAAAGCGGCCGAGTGAAACACCCCCCCGCCGCTCCCCTTAGGAGTGCTGAAGCCACAGAATCGCCTGAGACATCCTCAACATCAGTGTGTGTGTGTGAGTCATCCGATGAGTGGACCTGAGTGAGTGTAGTGAATGTATGAGTACAAGTACGAGTGAGTCTGAGTGATGAGTGAGTCTGAGTGATGAGTGAGTCTGAGTGATGAGTGATGAGTCTGAGTCATGACTGAGTCCGAGTGATGAGTGAGTCTGAGTGATGAGTGAGTCTGAGTGATGAGTGGGTCTGGGTGATGAGTGAGTCTGGGTGATGAGTGAGCGGGTCTGAGTGAGAGGAGTGGTGTGTTCTTTCTCTCTCGTTCTCTCCTCGGGCACGGTTCGCCAATCCGCCGGCCCCCTTGTGGGGCCACCAGGCTGTAGGCCCGTGATTCGCAGTTTCCTGTACCAGTTGTAGTTTGTAGTTTCCAGTGTTACAGTTCTGCTTCTTGCTGGTTACTGTAACTAGTTGACTGACCGCGCGAGGGGAGGGAGGCCCAAACCAATTTTTTAGCACCACCTGGGCGCGTTGTCTGAATTGCTGGGGGGGCTCAAAATCGCCACCCCTCACGCAGATCCGCGGGGTCAGGGTCCAAAAACACATTGGATTTGCCACATTTCTGAAATTCGGTGCCACCCCTCACGCAGATCCGCGGGGTCAGGGTCCAAAAACACAGGGGATTTGCCACATTTCTGAAATTCGGTGCCACCCCTCACGCAGATCCGCGGGGTCAGGGTCCAAAAACACAGGGGATTTGCCACATTTCTGAAATTCGGTGCCACCCCTCACGCAGATCCGCGGGGTCAGGGTCCAAAAACACAAGGGATTTGCGACATTTCTGAAATTCGGTGTCACCCCTCACGCAGACCCGCGGGGTCAGGGTCCAAAAACAAAGGGGATTTGGCACATTTCTGAAATTCGGTGCCACCCCTCACGCACATCCATCGCAAGGCGTGGTAACCCAAACTGCGAGTACTCCCTCGGCCCTTTAATCCCAAGGTGTGGTAACCAAGCTCGTAAACCATACACGTCTTACCAATCGCCCTGTGTGGTAACCCCTCTTGTGATCAGTTGGTTTTGCCGATTGCGAATCGGCCTCCATGAAGTTCCGATACTGCTGCACGACAGCGCCAAAGCCTCATGACTTAGCTCTTCCATGGCCCATTCTCCGAGAGAGGGGGCCGGCGGCAGGGGGCGAAGCCCTTACGGATAACAAGAACCCCATAGTTGGGATATGGGGAGCAACAACAAAGTTATCGACAACTACACAGCTCCCGACGCCGCAGGACCACTCGGACAGGCGACCACGGTGCGACATTATGGGCCGGCGGAATGAGCGAAGCGATTAAGTAAAGGACCCCCAATCCTTCGGGAGGGGACCTAAGTTAGGAGGGCCACAAACCTTAGGGATAGGGGCTCTGTTCTGCAAATGTATCGACCCAACCGCCCAGCTTTATTATCCCGAATGCAAAGACGGGGACCCCAGTGAGGCCACGTCTTCACTGTGTTATTAAGGTTAGGGGTTCTTTTACTCTCGATGACAAGAGGCCCCAAGAGGCCCCCAAACTGCTCCCAAGAGGCTCCCAAGAGGCCCCCAAACTGCTCCCGAAGCCCCCGAGAGCGCTCCGAAGAGACCCCAAGAAGCATCCCTGAGAACTCTGACCCACAACCCAGACACGATGGCGGGATGGGCCGAAGGCGATTAGATCCGCCGCCCCCTGTTGCTTGCAAGAGGGGTGCCTGGCGTGCTGAATCCTATCGTTTTTGCTTTTGGGTTCTTTTTCCAAAATAACTCCCCCTGGGGCTCCGGCGCGTCCCGCCGGCCTCCCGAAAGGATGCCGAAAATTTGCCCGGACCCGGCTCCAAAGGGTTTTCCTGGTCCAGACGGCTCCACGACGGCCCAAGATGGCCTCCAAGATGCATCCCAGACGGCCAAGATGGCCTCCAAGACGGCTAAGATGGCCCCAAGATGCCTCCAAGACGGCCCAAGATATACCCAAGATGGCGTAAGATAGCTTCAAGATGGCCCAAGACGGCCCAAGAGGCCTCAATACAGCCCAAGAGGCCTCCAAGAGGTGCTCCAGGAGGGCCCGCAGAGGCCAAAATCATAGATCTTCCCTTGGTTTTTGAAGGATGTTGGCATTTGCCTCTTCTCGGCATTTCGACGGCTCAAGACGGCCCAAGAGGCCGCCAAGATCGCCCCACCATCGCCCACGAGGCATCCGAGAGGGCACCATGACGGCCCAAGAGGCCTCCTCCCCAAGAGGACCCCAAGACAGCCCAAGAGATCTCCAAGACGCCCAAGATGGCATCCAAGACGGCCCCGAAGCGCCCAAAGAGGACCCCAAGTCAGTTCAGAGAGGCCCCCAAGACGGCTCCCGACGGCGTCAGACGTGCCAGGAACCCATCAAGATGGCCGAAGTTGGCTCGAAGCTGGCCTAAGACGGCCTAAGAGGCCTCCAAGAAGGCCTCCAGGAAAGCCAGAAAAGGTCAAAAACACTGATTGTCCTAAGGTTCGTGAAGGATTTTGACATTTGCTTCTTTTCAGCCTTCCGACGGACCGAGACGGCCCAAGAGCCCCCAAAGATCGCCCAAAGGTCGCCCAAGAGGTCTCCAAGATGGTTCCAGAACGGCCCAAGAGGCCTCCAAGACGGCCCCAAGAGGTCCCCAAGACGGCCCAGGAGGCCTCCAAGACGCCCAAGATGGCCTCCAAGACGGCCCTGGAGCACCCGAAGAGGGCCCCAAGTCGGCCCAGAGAGACCCCCCAAACGGCTTCCGACGGCGTCAGACGGGCCAGGAGCCCACCAAGACGGCCGAAAATGGCCCTAAGATGGCCCAAGACAGCCCAAAAGGCCTCCAAGAGGGCCTCCAGGCAGGCCCCGGAAAAAGCCAAAATCATTGGTTTCCCAAAGTTTCTCCCGGAAAGGGCGTAGGCCCAGGGTTCTCTTTTAGCTGTTTACCCCCGGGTCTCACGGGAAGAGGGCCAGCGGATTTCTTTTGCGATAAATAAGTGGGAAGAGGGCTGGCGAATTAAAATTTGAGGATGTCCCTAGCAAAACGCTTGTTTTTCAGAACTTGTTGAGGATGTCTCGAGCGAAACGCTTGTTTTGTGTTATCGATTGTCCTCTCATGGGGACCAGAATGTAGAGGATCTCTCAAGTGAAATGCTTGGTTTCACGTGCCCAGGTCTTGAGGATGTCTCGAGCGAGACGCTTGGTTTCACGCCTCCAGGTTGCCCAGGCAGAGGTCAAGCGCCAGGATTTGTTGAGGATGTCTCGAGCGAGACGCTTGGTTTCACGCGTCCTCGTCGCCCAGGCGGATGTCTTGAATGAGGAGGTGTTGAGGAAGTCTCGATCGAGATGCTTGTTTGCACGTGTCCAGGTTGCCCAGGCGGATGCCTAGCGTGAGGATGTGTTGAGAATGTCTCGATAGATTCGCTTGTATTCACGTGTCCAGGTCGCCCAGGCGGATGTCTAACATGAAGATGTGTTGAAGATGTCTCGAGCGAGACGTTTGCTTTCACGTGTACAGGTCGCCAAGGCGGATGTCTAGAATGAGGAGGTGTTGAAAACGTCTCGAGCGAAACGCTTGTTTTCACGTGCCCAGGTCACGTCTCACATGAAGATGCGTTGAGGATGTCTCGAGCGAACTACTTGTTTTCACATGTCCAGTTCGCCCAGGCGGATATCTAGCATGAGAATGTGTTGAGGATGTGTTGAGCGACACGTTTGTTTTCACGTGTCCAAGTCGCTCAGGCGGATGTCTAGAATGAGGATGTTGACAGGATGTCTCGAGCGAAACGCTTGTCCCCAGCACGTTCCGTAGCGCGTCCCCTTGGCACGTCCTACGGTGCGACCCCATGGCACGTCCCCTGGCACGTCGCCTGGCGCGTCCCTTGGGACGTTTCGCGGCGCGTCCTCCTGGCATGTCCCCCTGTCAATTAGCTCTGGGGCAGCTTCTATGTGTTCAGGCAGCTCGAGCTTAAGATCCAGATCAGTTCGGTCAGGACTCGGATGCAAAGGAAGACTCGATCCACAACGCTATAGAGCACAACCGCGGCATGGCACATCGCAATTCAGCACGGTGCAGCACAGCACAGTCCTCGGCACGGTACATCAAGATCGATACAATCAGAATTGCATTTGCCCGTCACCCAATCAGGTGTCTTTGAAAACGTTGCCATGCGTTACATTTCTATATTCCTTTCCGGGTTCGTGGGTCGATCATGTTGAAGGATTGTGGCATTTTTTTGTTCGGCCTTCCGACGGCCCGAGGCGGCCCAAGAGCCCCCAAAGATCGCCCAAGAGGCCCAAGACGGCCTCAAGACGTCCCCAAGACGGCCCAGGAGGCCTCCAAGACGCTCAAGATTGCCTCGAAGACGGCCCAAGAGCCCTCCAAGACGTCCTCCAAGAAGGCCCGAAAGGGTCAAAATGGCCTCCAGACGGCCAAGAGTACCCTCAAGATGCCCACGTGTTCCCCGAAGGCTTTCCAAACCGATTCGGGGAACACATGGTCCGATAGCTTGGCAGATCTGGCCTCAACGTTCGGCCACATAGGCGCTTCCAAAAAGGCAGGGGGCGGCGGTGACTCGCCGTTGGCGTCTTCGATATTCTGTTCTGCTTTGGAGAGGGTGGAGGCTCTTTTGAGCAACCTCCGCGGAGTGCGTCGTGGCCCTGGGAGTGCGGACGCAGCTTAGTTCACAAAGGATCGTGACCATGACAGCGCGGACGCAGCGCAATTCATAAGTAATCGCGGCCCTGGGAGCGCGGACGCAGCGTAACTTACGATGGATCGTGGCCCTGGGAGCGTGAACCCGTCGTAATTTACAACGGATCGTGACCTTGGAAGCGCGGACGCAATGCAATTTACAAGGGAACCTGCCCCTGGGAGCGTGACTCCCGTGCAATTTACACACTAACGCAGCCCTGGGAGCGCGAATCCAGCGCAATGTGCAAAGGATCTAAGCCCGGAGAGCGTGGACGCGGCGTAATGTATGAGGGATCGTGACCATCGGGCCCGCTCCCTGGCACGTTCCCTGGCGCCTCCCCTGGGCACGTCCGCTGGCGCGTCCCGTGGCGCGTCCCTCTGGCACATCGCGCGGCGAGTCCTCTGGCACGTCCCCTGACACGTCCACTGGCACGTTCTGTGGCGCGTCCCCCTGCATGGTAGCGTGCGGAACGGCACAGCGCCAAGAAGCACAACACAGCTCCACGGCACAGTAGCATCACCATTGATCTCTTCAGCATTGCCGCTGCTCATCGCCCAATTGAGGTGCTTAGAAGCGTCCCCAGGCCTCGCAGTTCAAAATCCTGTTCCGAGTTTGTGGGTCGACTATGTTTGGCCAGTTGAGAAGTGGCCAGTTGGTTGGAATTGTTACCAGTCGGTTGGGATTGCTCCGACATGCGGGTCCAGCTCTCCCCCCACCGATGTACGATCGGTACCATTCCCCGGGCGGGGGGGGCGAGCAACGACTCTCACACGCCAGAGGATAAGAGCGCGATCTCTTGTACTCCGACGCATCGGATCGCCAGAGCATCGAGATCGAATCGCACGGGCTGGGCATCGTCAGATCGGATCGGGTCGATCGATCTCGGATCGAGGCGGGCCCGGTGAGAGGTGCCCAGATCCCCGACGTCATGACGTTTTCATTCCGTCGACCCCCCGAGGTCTGGACCTACCCCCCCGGACCGGATTTTCATCCCGAATCGTTTTTCGACGGCCCTGTAAGGGCCCACAGAGGCCGAAAACTATGGAACACCTCCCGCCGTGACTTTCTCATTACTCGAGGGGGTCTGGGTGGCGGGCCTCCTGTCTGCCCGCACCTCCGGGGCCGAGAAGCGGATGGCCCGGGCGTCTTGCCTGCCACGGGGGAGGGCAGGGGCGGCCGCTCTGCCGGCGGGGCGCGCCCCCGAGAGGATGCACATGCACCTCCTCCTCCCTCCGCCTCCTGCTCCTCCTCAACTTCCTCCTCCTCCTCCTCCTCCTCCACCTCCTCCTCCACCTCCTCCTCCTCCTCCTCGTCCTCCTCCTCGTCCTCGTCCTCCTCCTGGCAAAGAACCCTTCTAGCAGCAGCAGGGGTGACAGATGTACGCAAACACCCGCCGACGAGTTTTCCCTGTGCCTTCCCAAGAGGGTGGGGGTGTAGAAAATCGTGGCTGCAAATGGTGGCTTATACACCACCATCCTCCCCATGAGGCTCAGGAACAATCCACTGGAGGGTGTCCGTGCAGATGCTTCTGTGTCGGAACTTACAAGGCGGGTAGAGGAGGAGGTCGGCAACAAGGGGACAGGGGTGAGAGCACGGCCATGTGCAACTCAGCGCACCTTTTACAAAGACTCGTGGCTGTCCAGACCCAACATGTAGCCATACTTAAAATTGAGGCGAGACTACGACTGAATCCATGATGAGGAAATCTCCGGCAGAACGGCTGCCGGACCGGGCGATCTTGGGAGGTTGTCCTGGGCTCCCCGTACCCCCCTGTGGGCCTCTTCTGTGGCCTTTCTCCTGGAGGGTGCTGGGGCCCAAGCTGCTACCCCCAGAGAGGTCTTGAAGAAGGTCGGCGGAATTATCTGCAATAAACAAAAAAAAATATTCTCATTCTGTTCAGGAAAATTCATTCCGCGCGTGCCCGCTCGAGGAAGATGTGCTCCACATCTCGGATCCTCGATAAGAACCAGGGTCCGCAGACCCCCGCTGTCCTTCGTGAAAAACAGAGTGCAGAGCGTTTCGCGCAGAATCGGCAATGAATCACACAGTCTGGAGGCCTTGAATGAAATGTCCCAGAACATTTTGAAACAAATGTGTTTGATGTAAATCGAATGTTTGTATATTTCAGCCCCCCTCCAACAAAAAACTCGCGCGTGCCCGCTCGAGGATGGCGCGCCCTGCGGGCCGAATCCAGGAGGATGTCTCGAGCGAAACGCTTGTCTTGCAGAACTTGAGGGGCCTGGTCGCCCCAGGATGCCCAGGTGTTCCTTGGAGCGCGAACACAACGAGATGTACGAGGATCGTGGTCCTGGGTGCGCGGACACAACGTGATTCACAAGGGATCGCGGCCCTGTGAGCGCGGACGCAGCGCAGTTTACGAGGGATCGTGGCCCGGGGAGGACGGACGCAGCGTAATTTACGGGAGATCGTGGCCCTGGGAGCGCGGTCCCATCGTAATGGCTTCGGTCATGGGTCCGTCGAGCGTGGCCGCTTTCTGATTCCGCGGGGTCTGGGGGTGCGGGGGGGAGGCAAACCGACTTTTTCCCAGAAAGGGCTGGGGCCCAAGGTTCTCTTTAGTTGCTAAACTGTCCCCGGTGCCGAATTCCAAAAAGGCGAGCGGATTCATTTGCAATATGTCACGAAATCGAAAAGGACCAGCGGATTACAGTTTGAGGATGTCCCGAGCGAGCGGAACGCTGGCTTTGTAATTTCGAAAGATACAGCACATGATGAAATCCTAATGTTCGTTTGTTGCGGATGTCTCGAACGAAGCACTTGTTTTGCAGAATGCGCTGAGGATGTCTCCAGCGAAACGCTTGTTGTTGTTCCTATAGCTTGCTCCTCTCCTGGGGGGGCAGAATTCAAAGAACACCGAAGGCGAAATGCTTGTTTTCACTTGCCCAGGTCGCACACAAAGGGGTATCTAACATGGTGGCCCCAAGCTGGAACCATGTGCTTCTACGTGTCCAGGCCACCTCTAAAATGATGGTCCTGGGCTGGAACCACGTGTTTTTACGTGGTCAGGCTACCCGGAAAGCTATCACACTGGTTGCCCTGAGCTGCAACGCCTTATTTTTACGTGTACGGGCCACGCACGGGAGGCATATCTAACGTGTGGTCGTCCCGGCGCCCCCAGCGTGCGGGGGGGGCACAACAGCCAGACAAGATCAATACATCTACACCAAATGTTTCTTTGGCTGGTGATTTTCCTAACTTCCCACTGGGGTATCTTCCAACATGGTGGTCCCGAGCTGGAATCATTAGCGTTTACGTGTCCAGGCCACCAAGCTGGATATCTAATGTGGTGGCCCCGAGCTGGAACCATTCGTTTTCACGCACCTAGGCCGCCCAAAGAGGTATCTAACATGGTGGCCCCGAGCTGGAACCACTTGTTTTCACGTGTCCAGGCCGCCCAAGGGGGAATGTAACATGGGGGTCCCGAGCTGGAACCACGTGTTGTCGTGTGTCCAGGCCACCCAGACAATGTGTCTAACATGGTGGCCCCGAGCTGGAACCAAGTGTCTGCACGTGTCCAGGTCGCCCACGGGTGGTTATCTAAAGTGGTTGCCTCTTGCCCCTCGCTGGAACCACGTGTTTTCACGTGCCTAGGCCACCCAGAACTGTATCTGGCGTGGTGGCCCGAGGCTGGCACCACATGTTTGTTTTCACGTGCCCAGGCCACCCAGAGGGGTATCCAACATGGTAGCACCGAGCTGGGACCACGTGTTTTCACGTGTCGAGGCCACCCAGCGGGGTATCGAACATGGTGGTCCCGAGCTGGAACCACGTGCTTTTACGTGCGCGGGCCAACCAAATGGAGTGTATCTAACATGTGGTCGCCTGGGCGCCCCCAGCGTGGGGGGGGGCCCAAGAGCCAGACATAAGCATTAAGTATACACCAGATGTGTAATAACTTGGCACCGTTTTTTTTTCAGCGGGTGATTGACCAGATGTCCCCCTGAAATGTCTAACATGATGGTCCCGAGCTGGAACCGCGGGTTTGCACATGTCTAGGCCACCCAGAGAGGTATCGAACATGGTGGCCCCGAGCTGGAACAACGCGGGTTTACGTGTCCAAGCCACCCAGGGGGTATCGAACATGGTGGCATCTCGCTGGAACCACTTGCTTTCACGTGGCCAGGCCACCCAGGGGGATGTCTAACATGGTGGTCCCGAACTGAAGCCAGGTGTTGTTACGTGTCCAGGCTGCCCAGGGTGGTTATCCAACATGGTGGTCCCAAGCTGGAAACATGTGCTTTTACGTGTCCAGGCAGCCGCCAAGAGGGAGTGTCTAAGATGGCTGTGTGTTCTGATCCTCGCTAAAAACACGTGCGTTCATGCGTCCAGGCCAGCCAGGAGGGTATCTAAGACGGTGGCCCCGAACTGGAACCACGTGTCTTCACGTGTCCACACCACCCAGAGGGGTCGAACATGGCTGCCGAGCTGGAACCAACGGGAAGTATCTATAACATGTGGTCGTCTGGGCGCCCCCAGCGTGGGGGCCCACAAGAGCCAGACAAAATCAGTAAATCTACACCAGATGTGTAATAACCTGACACGGTTTCTTCGGCGGGTGATTGTCCAGACCCCCTAGTGGGTACCTAACATGGTGATCCCGAACTGGAACCACGTGTTCAGGACCATCGAGGGCACGTCACGGAAAAATGCGACGTTGGAGGATGTCGGAGGGGAGGGTACGCAGAAGGCACCCTGGCCAGAGACATCCTGGGCCATGGCATGGTGCACACGCCATCCTGGCCGAGGCCACGACGGTCCACACACCATCCTGGGGTCCAGGATGGCCATGGACTGGCATCGTGGTGTCAAGGTGCCTGGAACAGGAGACGGCAACGACGAACACGTCTCGCCACTGCGGCTGGTGCGCAGCGGCGGGAGCCTCGGATTAGGTCGGTATGAGTAAGTCTGGGTATGAGGAGGAGAGGGGAGGAGAAGAGGGAGAAGGAGTAGGAGGCGTCCAAGTAATAACAAGAACCTCATCTTAGGAGATGGGGAAAAATAGTTTGAACAAAATTCAAAATGATCGAACATAATCTAAAATCGTACCCAAAGTATGCTTTTACTATTTCTGAACATCCCTCCTGCAGAGGGCCATGCTCGACTTGAGCCTCGGAGGCTTTCGAGAGCAGTCAGGGCTCCAGAGGGACTTCCGAAGTCAACGGGGGTTCGGGGGGGAGTATTTGGGGGGGGGGCTGGGCTCACCGACGAGCATCGGGCCCCGTGGACTCTCCTCCCAGGTCGGCGGCCTCGCCGCCGTCAGCACCACGAACCTGTCGCTCTGGAGCTCGGGCGGCGCGAAGCGCAGCGAGTTGCCGTCCAGCCGGATCTCCTGGCACTCCCCGCGCGCGCGAACACTGGAGCGCGGCGGTCCCGCCGTCGCACGCTGGCGACCGGTGGAGCCTGCCAGTCTGAGTGCGCTTCAGGGACACAGGGGGGGCCAGTCAACAAGAAGCCTTCCACAAGAAGCCCTTCCCTGATGCCCCTGGACGTCCATGGACTTTTGGTGTGGGAACGCCACACTGTCCATGGCAAAACCGTCGAGACCCGAGAAACCCAGGGTACCCTGGAGGCAAGCAGGGTGTTTTTTAGCATGGGCCTCCACTTTACAATTCAGCTGCACAACGAGAACCACGGGAAGGCCTGAGGAACCCCAGGCCCCTCCGAACCCGAGCTGCACCTGACTTCAGCGTCGTGACTTCTGGCGACCAATGATGATGTTGTCGATGTTGTGATGATGTGTTCGCCCCAAGTTCTATACCAAAGTACTGGGCAGTGACTTGTGCGAGCTCGGCGGGGACTTCGCACGACCCCCGCTGCACCCTTGCTGTGCTGAGCGGGTTCGAGCCTTGCTGACTTCAGCGTCATGACTCTACTCTGGCGACCGATGGGGCATGCCACTCAGAGTTCGCTCCAAGGGTCTTCACAACTGCAGCTGGTCGAGGGCTCAACGACTGCAGCTGCCCCTCGACCGGGGCTGGAACTTCTGCGATCTCTTCGGAGTTGCCCGGGCGTCGCTGCATGCACTCTGCAAACAGTAGTGTTTGCACTAGAGGTTCTTACTTCGGCTTGTAAGTCTTTGGATGGGTGTGGCTGAGCTTCGCCTGCTGGGCGGCCGTGGGCGCTCCGTGGACGCTCCGTGTGCTGGGCGGCTGAGGCAAGGCTGCCTCGTGGGCGCCCGCGTGCACTGGCTCGGTGTGTCGAGGTTTCGCCTCGTGGGCGGCCATGGGTGCCTCGAGGGCGCCCCGTGCCCTGGTTGGGTGTGGCGAGGCTTCGCTTTGGGGGCGGCCGCGGCCGCCTCGTGGGCGTCCCGTGCCCTGGCTGGGTGTCTTGAGGTTTCGCGTGGTTGTCTTGAGGTTTCGCTTCGTGGGCGGACTTGGGCGACTCATGGGCGCCCCATGCGCTGGCGGGGTGTGGCGAGGCTTCCCTGGATGGTGGCCGTGGGCGCCACGTGGGCACGCTGGGCGGTTATGGCGAGGTTTCGCCTGGTGGGCGGCCGTGGGTGTCTCGTGGGCTCCAGGCGCAAAGGGGGCCTGGTGGTTTTTGTGCGTGTTGTTTTAAATAAGAAAACCTATGCGAGTCTCTCTCTACGACTCATTCTCTCTCTCTCTCTCTCTCTCTCTTTTTCTCATTATTTTTCTCTATGTGTTTCCGTTTCTCTCTCTCTCTCTCTCTCTCTCTCTCTCCCTGTCTCTCTACATGTTTCCATTGTCCTGCGTCAAACCTGCGCCGATCCTTCTCCCACCTAGCCGAGAGCATTTGAAACCTTCACAACAGGAACCCTTTGGAAAGCACCACAAAGGGATTCCATGTGAAAGCCTCTCAACAGGAACCCTTTGAAAGGCACCACAAAGGAGTTCCATTGGAAAGCCTCTCAACAGGTCTTCATTTGGGAAGCGCTACAAAAGGATTCCATTTGAAAGCATCTCAACAGGATTCCTTTGGAAAGCACCACAGAGGGATTCTATTGGAACGCCTCACAATCGGAATCTGTTGGAAAGCGCCACAGAAGGATTCTATTGGAAAGCCTCTCAGCAGGATTCGTTTGGAAAGCCCCACAATGGTACCATTGGAAAGCCTCTCAACAGGATTCCTTTGGCAAGCCCCACAGAGGTACTCTATGGGAAAGCCTCACAATCGGATTACATTGGAAAGCTTCACAATCTGATTCCTTTGGGAAGCACCCCGAAGGGAGTCTGTTGGAAGGCCTCACAACAGGAACCCTTTGGAAAGCACCCCAAAGGGATTCTAGTGGAAAGCCTGACAGCAAGAACCCTTCGGAAAATGCTACAAAGGGTTTCAATTGGAAAGCGTCACAAAGGAAATCCTTTGGAAAACTACACAAAAGGGATTCCATGGGAAAGCCTCACAATTGGAATCTTTTGAAAAGCGCAACAAAGGGATTCCATTTGAAAGCCTCACATCAGGAACCCTTTGAAAAGCACCACAAAGGAGTTCCATTGGACAGCCTCTCAACAGGATTCCTTTGGAAAGCACAACAGAGGGATTCTATGGGAAAGCCTCACATTCGGAATCCTACAGAAATCGCAACACAGCGATTCTACTGGAACGCCTCACAATCGGAATCTGTTGGAAAGCACAACAAAGGAGTTCCATTGGAAAGCCTCCCAACATGGTTTCTTTGGAAAGCGCAACAGAGGGATTCTATTGGAAAGCCGCAATCCAAACTGCTACCGTTGGGAGGATGGCGCTGGAACACAAATCCTCACAACAGGAACCCTTTGGAAACCATCACAACAGGAACCCTTTGGAAATCCTCACAACAGGAACCCTTTGGAAATCATCACAAAGGGATTCCATTGGAAAGCCTCCCAACAGGATTCCATTGGAAAGCACAACAGAGGGATCCAATTGGAAAGCCTCACAACAGGATTCCTTTGGAAAGCACCCCAAAGGGATTCTCATGGAAGGCCTCTCAACAGGATTCCGTGGGAATGCATCACAGAGGGAAGGTTCAGCGCCGCAGGTACGAACCCCTCCCGCGACCTCCTCCCTGCGACTCCTCTCCATCCTCTTCCTCCTCCCCCTCCTCCCCCATCCCCCCCTTCTGAAGGAATGCAACAACTTTGGGAAAACCATTGGAAAAACCAAAAAAACCAAAGAAACCTAAGTGCTGGAAACGAAAACTTTAGGAAACCCATTGGAAAAACCAAAAAAAAAAAAAAAAAAATCCACAGAGAGTGCGGGGATTCCCTTTGGACGTGTCCCTTCGGACGGGTGTTCCCCGCACTCTCTGTGGAATCTTTGGTTTGTTTGGTTTTTTTGGTTTTTCCAATGGGTTTCCTAAACTTTCCGTCTCCACCACTTAGGTTTCTTTGGTTTTTTTGGTTTTTCCAATGGTTTTCCCAAAGTTCTGGCATTCCTTCAGAAAAGGGGGAGAGGGGGAAGAGGCGGAGGAGGACGAGGAGGAGGAGGAGGAGGAGGAGAAAGAGGAGGATGATCGGGAACAGGATGAGGAGGAAGACGGAGAAGGATGAGGAGGAAGAGGAATGCGCTACGAACGAAAACACACAGAAGAGAGAGCGAGAGAGAGAGAGAGACGCATGAAACCCTCGGAGGGCCGAAAGCCCGCCGAATCATCCAGTCTGGAGCTGAAAAAGATCACGCTTAAAAACCACCAGGCCCCCTTTGCGCCTGAAGCCGTCTCGTGGGCACCCCGTACGCTGGTCGGGTGTGGCGAGGTTTCGCCTGGCGGGCAGCCGTGGGCGCCTCGTGGGCACTGAATAGCTTATGCCACATAGCTTACTCCACCTACCTTGCACCACGTAGCTTGCACCACATAGCTCACACCATATAGGTTGCACCACATGGGCTGCACCACACAGCTTAAACCACGTAGCTTACACCACGTAGCTTACACAACTGACCTTGCACACTATATGTCGCACCACCTGGCCTTCCACCACATAACGTGCACTACTCAGTTTGCACCAAAGAACGCACACCATATTGAGTGCACTAACTGTTTGGTTTCCACGCTGACTGGCGTCTCTATGTGTGTGGGCGTATATCAAAAAATGCGGATTGGCATCGAACTATCCAGCTTGATCCCTGCAAGCCAGATGAAGAAAAATATTCCAGCACTTAGGGGGCAGCGCAACTGCCCTGAGCCGATCCATTCCGATCCGACCCTACTCATCCTCCGCTCTTCTGCACATCCCCAACGCCTACCCAATGCAAGATAAGTCTCCCTGACACAGCGCAGCTTGACCTAGAAACCTCCCCCTGACAAGAGAACCAAACAAGGGTCATTTCTTTCGAAACGAACGCGCGCCAGACAGGGGGGACAACAATTATCATTCTTGACAAATGAGAGCTCAACAACTGCGTCCGAGAATATCATCATCACCATCACCACTATCACCACCACCACCATCACAGCCATCGTAATCCCTCCCGCCCACCCTCCTGCTAACCTTCCTGTTCCGGCTCCTCGTCGTGTTCTTCCACGTGTGGAATACCATTGCATGCTTCGAAGTTCGCGTCGCGTTTCACAATTCGTCTGGAAACATTCGTGTCAAAAAACTGAGAGGAGTCCACGGCTGGACATGTATAACAGTCTCTTGAGCGAGGTGCCGGGTTCCCTGGTGCGCCGGGTGCCAGGTGTGCTGGGTGCGCGGGGTGCGCCGGGTGTGCCAGGCGCGCCAGGTGCAGGGTGTGCTGGGTGTGCAGAGTGCGCTGGTTGCGCCGGATGCGTCGGGTGAGCCTGTGCCGGGTGCGCCAGGTGCGCGGCGGGTGCGCCGGATGCGCTAGGTGCACTGGGTGCGCCTGGGCGCCGGGTGCGCTGGGTGTGCCAGGTGTCGCCAGGTGTGCCGGGTGCTTTATGTGCGCCGTGTGCGCCAGGTGCGCCAGGGGCGCCGGGTGCGCCACATGCGCATGGTGTGCCAGGTGCGCTAGGCGCGCCGGAGTGCGCCAGGTGCGCCGGGTGCGCCGGGAGCGCCAGGTGCGCCTGGCGCGCCAGGTGCATGCGCCTGGTCCTGGTGCGCTGGGTGCGCCGGATGCGCTGGGTGCGCCAGGTTCGCCGGGTGCGCCGGGCCGGGTGCGTCGGGCGCGCCATGTACGTACGTGCCCTGAGGCTGCTCATCATACCTGCGCTCAAGTCAAGAAGTATGGGCTCATCGCTTGCGACGAAATCTACATCGAAAACGACGAACGACGCAAGAAGCCAAGAGCTGGTCCTGGCTATAGGCTTCCTCGCGCGCGCTTCGCTCCAGCAGGCGCTGGCGCACGCCTTGGTCGGCGCGGCGTTCGCCAGGCGCAGCGACGCCGATGCACCATCCTAGGGCGCGGAGGACCCGCTGTTCCGTCCTT